GTGTGTGTGTGTGTGTGTGTGTGTGTGTGTGTGTGTTTCACAGTGAGGAGAGGAGGCTTCCAACCCACACAGCACTCTCCAGAGCTCTCAGCCTCCACAGTGCCTCATCAGTTGACCACTCCACACCCCCTACGCATCAATTGTGTGCATGTAAGCGTGCACACCTACACAGAGCGGCACCATTAGAAGCCAAAGTGAACATTTCTGTCACCTGAAGTAGTTYGTTTCCATTTTTTCCCCTTTTTTCTTTTTTTTTCCATGTCTCTGAACACCTGTGACTCATGTCCGAGCGACTCATAAGACATAAATCCATATTATGACAAAAGAAACTTTGAAGCGAGACGGATCAACGCAGAGAACCATAGCTCCACGGTTAGAGAACCAGAGGTTATAAATAGTGATCTAAATTCATCTTGTGCCGTGTGTGTGTGTGTGTGTGTGTGTGGACTGAGGGGGAATCAATCATTCACACTGATGAAACATCCCCATTCAGGACAGGAAAAGCCTCATCAGTTAATCAATAACAATTTGTGGTCCCCCGAGGGGCCTGGAAAGCAAATAATAAATCAGAAGGGTTTGTAAAAGAAGCCGTTAAAATGTTGAGGTTGCTAACACACGAACGGGGCTGACGCCACAAGTTAATGGCAAAGTTTAAAGCAAAGACTATGCTTTGGGAATATATGTGTAGCTGTAAAACTGAGTTAGACGTATGTGTGTTGATCAGCTGGGGTGGCCTTCTTGAATCGGGTTGACTCCAAAATTGAATACGTCTGAGTGATTGATTTGTTCGTCATTGCTTCAATAAAATCTGTCCAGTGGTTCATGAGATATTTTGCTAACAGACAGACAGGGATGAACAGTTAATGGCCATCTGAAGTTCTGGAGTTGGGCAGCGTTTGAGCAGGTACAGGCCCAGACATTTCCTCCTCCAGCTCTTCTGGAAGGACTCTGCATTCCCAGACCAGCTGAAACATAGTCTCTCCAGTGCATCCTGGGTCTTCCCCAAGGTCTTATCCCAGTTGGACATGTCCAAAAAAAAAAAAAACCTCCCTAGAGAGGCATCCTTACCAGTTCACTGGTTCATTTGGATCACTACCCAGAGTTTGTGACGGTAGGTGAGGGTAGGAACGTGGGCGGACCAGTCCGACCACTAAACCTTTTTACCTAGCCTAAGTTTTGAGCAAATACATTGCACAATGTTGACTACTCAATGTACTTGATGGCAGTGATACTCATATACCACCACACAGAGTTTCATTCAAATCTGTCCGGTGTTTTGTGAGATATTTTACTAAAGCTTCAGTAAAATGAACACAAACACATGCAAAAACATTATCTTCTCTTCCTTTGGTGGCAGGTGACAATTATTGTGGAAAAAAAGTGAAATCTTGAATAAACCCTGAACTATTACTGTTCAATAAGCTATCTACAGCAGCAGTTCCCCTAAAGCACTAATAGCAAGGGCATAACTTTAGGTCTACCATTTTGTGTGTGTGTGTGTGTGTGTGTGTGTGTGTG